ATGCTAACTTGATAAGTTAGATCTAAGTGATTAGTTCTTAAACAAACAAACAAAACACCTTTGTTATGTTTTTTAAATACCACTACATGTATATCTTTTCCATAAATAATACGAGGATTTCTCGTTTTTTATGTGTCGTCAGTGGTTAACGCTTTATAAAGCTAATTATTAACAATGAAACAATGTATCTGGTGTCCAATTAAATGAGTTATGCGTCAACAAACAAAAGCTTGCTAATTATACACAATATTCAATTTGATCGGAAGTTAAAACGGACGCTGATAATGTGTCAAAGGACATTTATGATCAGTCGGCGTTACGTTTAATGAAGCCACGTGAAACGAAATAAATAATTATACAGAACTAGTAAAGCGTAAAAACAATGATTTATTTGGTAAATTTTCGAGGTATTTCGTCATTAAACAGTGTAGTTTCAATAAAGGTTTTTTCAATAATAATGTTCAAGGTATAGGAGAAGAGCGACAATCTTTTTTTGATTACCGTACTTTTATTGGTCAAGTGTTTCCAAAATTGTATTTCAAACTAGAATTTCGACCGCGACTCCGTCCGCGTGGAATTAAAAAAACAAGTAAGTAGCCTAATTGTTCTTCGAGATTATCCTCTACATTAATCAACATTTCATCCAAATTTCATCAAGATCCATTCAACTGTTTAGACTACAAATTCTAACAAACATCCATCTATCTATTATTTTGCATTTATGATACTCGTATTAGTAAGATGTATTCTTCACTGGTTACAAACTGAATTTGTATTCGTAGATATCTTTCGCTAACTTTCCCAAAGCTTCCTTAAAGCGTGAACTAATTTAACACGTACATAACAATTTTGCATGCCTCGTGTTACCCGTGAAATTCGGTTAAGTATGTATTTTGGATCGAATCCAAAACAATTAGTGCAGTGAGAGCGGTGTGCCTCGGTCTCAGAATTGAGAGTAACATTCTAAATGCAATTAATTCCGTCTGGTTTAGTATAACAATTTGTTACTACATCAGATGCGAGTCATGCGAAAAATTCGGACAAAACTAAGAGCCTATCCCACCAAAATTATAAATTATATAATAACAATCCAACGTGTAAAACTTGTGATGTAAATATCAAAATTTGTAACTTTATCTGACAGTGACGTCATTTTCAAGCTATCTGAGCCTCTATCAGACAGTAATGGGATAGGATCTACTCTTTAGCGTTGAAAAATCAAATTTCAATACTTTAAGTGTGTGTGATGTATTGAAATTATTTACAGTGCAAATCTCGGAAGGAGGGAGTTCTTGCTTTTGTTTTACGCTTTATAAATATGTTAGCGAGTAACTAACTCTTATAAAGTTGAATTTAATTATTTCTTTTTTTTTTGTTTTTTGATGTTTTTCAGACACCAAATTTTATAATGTCTTAAAAGAGCGAAAAATGTAATTCTCCTACTGGGAATATTCCCATCACTGTTTAAGAAGACATAATTAAAAACATTCAGAACATCTTCATTTCGCTAACAGCACTATTTTGCAGTTAACGACATGAATTTAAGTTTGTAAGCACTTAAAAGTTGCCGCAATTATTAAAATTGTTACCATTTCTTTAAATTACTTTGTAATAGTCGAAACGAATTTTGTATTTTAAAAAGTAGTGAGAATCATTCACAGTTATAGTTTAAAAAAAAAACTTTAATCAACTATCGTCAAAATACAATAAAATCACTAAAATTTAGGAGAAATTCAAATATTACAAATGGTTTCGGATTCATTTATAGGTACTAGCTGTTGCTCACGACATAGTCCTTGTGAAATTAAAAAAAACTCTAACATACAGCCTTTATTACTCATTGATAACGTAGCTTTTTACTGGCGAAAGAATTTTTAAAATCGGCCCAGTAGTTTTTAAGATATTTCAATACAATACAAAAATACAAATCTTTCCTTTTTTCAATATAATTAGTATTATATTTTTTTTTATATCTGAACACAAAACATATTTCATTCTGAGTATTTTTCTCCGTTATAAATTTTACTTTACTTTCGTGTTAGTGATCGATACATTCAATTGTTAATGAGGTCGTGACCAGTTACTTGGTTACGGCGTAGACACAACGTGCCTTGTTCAATTGCTACAAGGATAGAATAAGCCACTGTTTGTACACAACATACTAAACCGAAACTATTACTATAAAACTATTTACTGCACATTTAGGGACAGTTAATGCGCTGCTTTTATTTCAAAGCTAACTTAGCTTATTATTATCTTTCGTCCGTGTTTCAGAACACAGGGAATTAAAAAACAAAAGTAAGTAGCCTATGTATTCTATCAGACTATTCTCCATATCTATACCACATTTAAATGAAATACGTTTAGCGGTTTAGGCTACAAACTCTAACAAACATCCATCCATTTAAACTTTCGCGTTTATAATATTAGTATGATATACGCATAGGAAAGGTTTCAGATTTTGCAGGGATTGTTTTAGATTGATAGCATTAGGGAGCATTGTTTCGAATTTAAAACGTCGCTACGTGGCATCGACTTTTTGCCTTTGAGATGTTTCTTTAGAATTCCTCTCACGTCTCTACTTCGTACCTGAGGTAATATATTTTTGGGTATCAATTTCTTACGAAACTGAATTAAAATCATGAACCGACTCAAATAAGTTACGAATTAAGGCGTAGTCACTTTATTCATTAACAAAATTACAAAAACCAACGTTTTTTTTTTAATCGGTCTTTGTTTTTGTTTTTTAAATAGATTTCCCTGGTGACTCCATCCGCGTGGAATTAAAAAACACAAGTAAGTAGCCTATGTGTGCTTCCAGACTATCCTCTTCATTTATGCCAAATTTCATCGAGATCAGTTAAACAGTTTAGGTACTCTAACTGTTAAAATAGTTAAAGTACAAACTCTAACAAACATTCATCTATGTAAACTTTTGTATTTATGATATTAGTAAGATTTCAAATCAATCGAGATGTTTTGTTTTGTTTTAATTATTAACAGTAAAAAATTAAGTTTTTAAAAAAAATACAAAATATTAGAATGTATTATAAATGCATCTGTTTATCCTATACCTAACGTAATAACATAATCTTCCCCTTAAGTGCTCTTTCGCAGTATTATTTATTCATGAACAATTTGCGATGCAATCAGGTCAGATATACTCCGCTATCGCGGCGTCGAATCCTGTTTGACTTTGATCAAATACGATTAATAACTTCGTGTTCGTCTTTGAATTTTTAACGTAAATAAAAGATTTATTGCCTTACCTTAAGATAATTCGATATAAGAGTATTTGAATATATTTTATTTGAGTTGATCTGCAAAAATATTTAATACTAGCCAGCTGTTGCTGGAGACTTCGGATTATTCCGAACCGTCACCTCGATTAATCACACGTGGGGACAGATAAAAATAAAAAGTTTCATCCATCCCACCTTTGAAGCCCACTATCACCATGTAGGTGGCAGATGGAACTGTTTAGAAATAAAATAAGTTCCAACCGTCCCCTCGTCACAAATGGTGGGTCAGATGAAACTTTTTATTCTCATCTGTCCCTACGTGGGGATGGAGTGGGGTGACGGTTGTGAATAATCCGAGACTTCGTCCACATGAAATTTACATATATAGCCTATGTTATTCGGCGATAACGTAGCTTTCTAATAGTAAAAGATTTTTTTTAATAGACCCAGTAGTTTTAGAGATATTTCAGACAAAAATATGAATCTTTCCTGTTTATAATATTAGGATAGATTTAACAATCTTTTAAAGGTACTTGCGAAAGTTGTAGGATCCATCTCTATATTAAGAACTGAAATTTTGTTCATTTGAAACCCCATACATACCTTCAGTTAGAATTCCACAATTTAAGTGGACAATAAAAGATAAGCATTAACACGCACAGTTATAAGTGTAGTTCAAATATTCAATAAATATTCGAAATACTAATTACTGTAAAATACACTTCACTCGTAGTTATTTTTTTGTTTCCTAATTCTTTACATGTGTACTATTATCATAATCGTAGAATTATTTGCGACGGTAAAGTATCCGATCTGGCAACGATCCAAACAGCGTTTGTCACTTTTGCAAATGGATGGATGATTTCCCGCACATAATTATCATGAAATCTTCTTATCGTACATTGTAATGAAGCACTCATACCAAACGCAGATATACCGGTTCTGATTTTATAGATATTTAAGTTACGCTACACTTAATTATCTATATTTATACGAACATTATCAATAGGAAAGATTTGTATTTTTGTACGTATTAAAATAACTCAAAAACTATTGGGACAATTTCAAAAATTCTTTGACCATTTAAAAGCTACGTTAACGTTGGATTATTTTTTTCTGTAACTTGAAAGGCGCGGTCACAACTAGTTACATTATAAATGCGAAAGTTTGGATGTAGAGATGGATGTTTGTTAGCGCTAGCCTAAATAACTGAACGGATCTCGATGTAATTTGACATATTTGTAGAGAATAGTCTGAAAGAACACATAGGCTTCTTATTTATTTTATTACTATGCTAGCATTTGAATGTAGCATATATGGGTGACTTTTACCCCTAGAAAAAGATTAAAGGTAACTCATAACAATGATCTAACTAATTGTATTATTACTCGCATTCGAGCAGCTTGTTGCTTGTTGGTTTCCCAACACTACGTACTGGCTAAATGCATGCTCGTCGTGTAACTTGGTTTATTACATCTCGTAAATTACTTTTTCTTGATGTTTTGTTAGAGATAACCTTAAGGAGACCATGGTTAATTATTTTGGTTAACGAAAACTATGCGAAAGAAATGTCTCTACCAACTAGATTTCATTGTTTCTAATTTATGTGACCAGGATATTAAATAGAAATTAGTTAAATTTGTATTTTTATACTTCAAGGAGTTTCTAAGTTATTTAATGTTAAAGTAAACCTTGTTTTTATAAATTTTCGTTTTCAAATAACACAAGCTTGACGTAATGTCAAAGTGTGACATTCAGTTGTAAGAAAATTGTACGAGCGATGTGACTAAAATTTTAGTTATATTTTTGTGTTGTGTGTTTTTATATCTTTATGTAGTTTTCTTTTGACATATTTTTTATTTGACCGAAATTTTTGTGTTGGAAAATATTGTCCGCGACACCGTTGCTGTGACCGTGACTCTATTAGTTTAGATAATTTGATAAATTTTATTCGAGTTTACAAGGTAAGATTACAATTATTATTTCTTATAAACTAGTATGTAATGTTTTATTAGAAATAAGTTGAACTTCAACTTACTTTTGACCTTCAAATGACCTATGGCTACATCCTATAGTTGTCACATAGTAACTATTGCTAGGCCCTCATTTCATGCCAAGTTCTATGAATTTGTGACACTTTTCTGATCAGCAGGACTTATTCAAGCAAGAGATGTTGTACCCTTTATAGTTAAAGAATATTCTAGATGCCACGTAATGCATAATTTAAATTGTCTGCGATCTAAATACTAAAGTCATGGTCAATTTCCCAGATGCGTTTAACCATTCGATTACCTCTTGAAATTCGTCACTCGAGTTTAATTCCTTTGAAATGTAGCTTAACCTAACACCAATGAATCTTTAGGTAATGATAAAATAAATGGAAACTTCAGCAATCTAGCATAAATCGGAGTCGTTTTATAACAATAATACCTTTCGCCTGCGACTCCGTCCTCGTGATATAAATAAAATACTGAGTAGCCTATGTGTTCTTCCATATCCTCTACATCTATGCCAAAGTTTATGCTACAAACTCTAACAAACATCCATCCATATTTCACATTTATAATATTAGTAAGATTAGTGACTTTGCAAGCAGAGATGTAATATGTATGTTAATATTTAATACAAGCTTCGCAGTCCAGTATTAACTAGTGAGCTACGAAATTAAATGCGTCCGATCCCAGCCCGGAGTTTATTTATCAGACATAAAATACGATCAATGGAAATTTCCACATCTATTTTCAATTTTAATCCTCTTACTATAGAGAATTTTCGACATAAGCCCAATGTCCCCCTCTATACCTACCGATTATATGTTCTTGCATTTTGTAAGTTACTTTCATTCGGGCTTTTAATCCGCTTAACGTTCAGCGCGATAGCATACGCTTGAAAAAGCTTTTGCTTAGGTATAATTACCAGCTTTAAAGCTACTCGAATATTCATTCATATTTAATTATTTGTAACAAGGATGACAAAACTTGTTTTTTATAAAACTGATATATGCCGCTGAAAATCAGCGTGGCCTTCGGTGTCAAGCTGGAGGCCGCATCAGCTAAGCCTTCTCCTTTTGGCCGAGAAGTGAATTTTTTTGTGTTTTTTTTTTTACTTGTTTTTGGCCAGTATTTTATATTTTATTTTATTTATAATACAGCGATGTGAACGGAAGAACGTATTAGTTGTCAATATAAATATTCTAATTTTTTAAACTACCATAAGGTTAAGATATAAGCTTAAACAATATCGTCATTTGTTATCAACAGAGGAGATGCAAGTGATGTGTAGCTTAAAGTAAGGCAAAAAATGACCTACTTCTATTTCTTGTTGATGTAGACCTCTCAATTGTCAATTCGCACTTTGACGACGTCTGTCGGAATTAGAACAATCTTTGTAATTGCCCGTCGTCAGTTGTTCCGACTTTGTATACATGAGGCACGTATAACGTTTTCTCTGACTCCGTAGCAGTTTTGTGACTTTAGTTACGAGCGTGGGCTGAACGATTAAAGGTTAAGGCGACGCAATCAGCTGTTGTTTGGTTTATGTTTTCTAATCACGGTGTTTCGGCCGGGAGTTTGTTTATAGCAGTAGTAACTTTGTTTCTTTGATAGCCTCATCTTGGTGATAGAGTAATTCAAATATGGGGAGAGTTTTTATGTATTTCTGGAACGTTTTTGTATCCAGTTGAGTGATGACGTGGATCATCATCCAAGCATTCGTAAAGGCTGCAGAGCTGACGAAAATATGATTATACCAGCTGTCGCCCGCGACACCGTCCGTGTGGAAAGAAATCAAAAGTGACTAGCCTGTGTGTTCTTCCAGACTATTCTAGAGGATAGTCTGACGGTCAAGTCTGGAAGATAGATAGGATTGATGTAGAACATCAATATCAAATTTTATCGAAATCCGTTCAGCCGTTTAGGCTACAAACTTCTAAACTTCCGCATCCATCTAAACTTTCGCATTTATAATATTTAGTATAAAAGTAACTTAAATAAACTTTAATATAAAAATTCTAATTTCAAACTGAATACCAATTATCTTTGCTGCAAATTCAGTTTATTGAAAATTTGAAATTTAAATCAAATATTATTTTAAAACGATAGAGTTACAGAAATGAAAATGAGTCGATATTACGAATCTGTAATTTAGCACGTCAATTCCCAATGCGCGTATAATTTCGATGCGAGTCAAATGTTCGTGCAGCGATCCTACCGAATTTGCAGAGAGAAATTATATTCCGTTTTAGAGGATTCGATAGGGATAAAGTGACGGTTTTAATTTCACGTCCACAATTGTGATCTAACGAGAGATGAAGCAGAAATGATGACACTAGCAGTCGGCGTTTTCTCCGTGATATTGTGATTACTGTGTTAAGCGGGGCGATTTTGGTGGGGTATATATTTCATAATAATTTAATGCAAATGTTCACTTAGTTTATGAATGGACTTACATATTATAAATACGGTTATTTTCTACCTTAAGATTTAGAGCTTGTTTATATGCATTTAGCATTGCTTAAAATACATTGTTTATGTTCAGTATGCTAATGTCGTTTTCAGAATAACGACATAAAAATATTTTTAATTTAATAAAGTACGAGTATACAAACATGAAGTTTTCCTACATTAGAATGTTACAAAAGAATTTCTAATAAGGATATGGACTTTCGCACAAATTCAGACCACAAGTTTGGCTTCCCGCCAGCCAGTCTCGATACTTTATCGACTGAAACCGTGGAATAGAGTCTTTGAAATGGTTTCTATTATAATATATTCATGATTATGCCCCAGAAATATATAATCTATTGGCAATATTGTATATATGTAAATACGCATTAGCCGCCTTTTTATGCAACATTTATTTTCGAAAATTAATACAGTAACAAAAACAAATAAAACTTTTTTATTTGGTTTAATTTAAATCCCTTACAGTCAATGATTTTAAAATTCCAAATAACACTGGCCTGGTTCAGTTAGTAATTTAACCATTTTTTTTTTCGCATAAAACAGAAACATATTTCAATTTATTTATCCGCTTCGCTCATACAAGACCTTTTAAAAACAAAAGTTCCCCAGCGCATCAGCACAATTCTTTTGTCTGTAAGGGTGAAAGGGCCCTCGTCTTGTGATTTCGGGTAGCGTCTGTCATCAATATTTCGTCTCTAACGTGCGATAATTGCGAGATATTGCGCTAAGGTATTTCATTACCTTGGCCTCATCGCTTGTAGAATAGAAATAAGTCTATCGAACGTAAAATTTTACTGATTGTAATAGAGTCACATCACAAGTTAAAGGAAAAATTTAATAAATCGGATACTCTGTTAAATTAATGACTAAAATGTATTTTCATTACAGGTTCTTCATCAACCGTCAAGCTGGCGCACATAAGTAAGTAATAACTTGGTACAGAATTTGGTAAAGAAAAC